TTTCCGGCCCCTACCGCGGCCGGGGTAAACCAGGGTTCAGTACAAGAACTCAACAACAAAGAACTAGAAAGTGACAAGAAAACTATAGGTCTAAGAATTTTCCTTGTAAACGAAGATGAGAGACGCAGTAATGTAATTTAATTTTTTTCTAATTTTTCTTTTATTTATAACTACAAATTTCCAAAAATACAAATTTTCAATTACGATCAATAAAATATATATAAGAAATTAATTAACAAAACAATTTTTCCGCGTATCAATTTTTTTTTATATTTCCCCTCGCAACTATTCACTTATTTTTGTGATAATGAAAACAACGAAGGAAAAAAAAACAAATCACACTCACCGCAGTTGTAGTGATGACGTCACCGCTCCTCTGCTGTATCTTGGATATGTTTTAAATGAATAAAAAACAGAAAAAAACCCAAACAAAGTTGAATCTCTATATCATGACTGTTTAAGTCTCTACACTTTGTGATCGCAGAATTTGTCGAACAATGCGTATGAAATTTTTGATCAAAATAAAATTATTTGGATCATGTCTTAATGCTTCAATTATGGCGATAATGAGACAACTATATACAGCTATCTAGACATTAGACTTTTTTTGTAGCAAATTTAGTATACAAAAAATAGTCATGCAGGCAAATGAAATCACAGAACTTCCTAAATTCAATCGGCTGATATCAGCTAATTTCTTGTGAATTGTTTATTTTTAATAAATCTATAACTTTTGGGAAGACAGTTTTTATCTAAAATTAAATATGTCGGAGATATAAGCAATTAAATTTGAATTTAATTTTATGGGTATTTTCCAATCTTCGGACTCCTGGAGCGCCATTTTCACTTATCCAATTGAACTAAAATTTTACACAGATTATTTATTTAGTGAAATGAACCAATCTGGGTAGGTGCCGTTAACCGATTTAAAAAAAACAATTGCCCACATACCTTAATGGCACCCTAATATATATGTATATATATGTAACAGGGTGACATGACTGTAATCATGACAGTTGCTATCTGTCACAGAGGAGAAACGCAGCAGTTGTTGACAGTGGTTTGAAGGAGTCAGTCGTGTGCGGTCGGACGTGGTATTGAACGTATTATATTGATAGTGAACATATTATCATTTTTTCAATTTCATAACATTTTATAACCTTTTTTGCATAATAACTGCACTAATAAATAATATTTCTTACATTTGGGGGCTCGTCCAAAGCCGAAAAGTGCAGCAAAAAAAATGGTGCACCGCAAAAATGCAAACGCGGGTTATGCAGAACGAAGCCTCAGAAGAGCAGAACATAACAAAAAGTGAAAATAATGAATATGTGCATGTTAGTGAAATTGAACGAAGTGAGATAAACGGAGGTATAAGTATTGAAAGTTTCGCAAAAATAGTGCCAGAATTTGATGGAGTTAACATGCCGATTCAGCAATGGATAAATAATTTTGATGAAAATGCCGAAGCATACTAACTAAGCGCAAAGCAATAAGATGAGAGGAACGGCGAAGCTATTCTTGGAAACTGTAACAGTGGTGAATTACGAAGCATTATGTGAGGCGCTAATACAAGAGTTTGATATAAAATTAAGTAGTGCAGAAGTACATAAGCAGTTGGTCTTGTGCAAAAAGCAAAAAGATGAAAATTTTCACGAGTATATACTGCAAATGCGCAAAATAACACCAGCGAATAATGTTGAAGATGAGTCTGTTATAAAGTATATAGTAGATGGTGTCGAATTACGCGAGGATTTGAAATACCCATTATACAGTGCGCCAACGTTCAAAGAATTAAAAAACCGATTCGAGTTAATGCAAACAATGAACAAAACCAGGCATAACCAAAGTACGAGCGAACAGAGACGTAGTCGTAATGAAGCAGAACAACGAAGTATAGAAGGCGACAGTAAACATTGCTTTAATTGTGGATCGACACAACATAAAAAAGCCGAATGCAAAGCCGAAACAAAATGTTTTAAGTGTAACGGCGTTGGGAATATAGCAAGAAATTGTACGAGTGCAAGACAAAGTGTACAGAGAATAATAAATGAAAGTCGTCTAAATTAGATAAAAATTAATAAAGAAAGCACAATGTGTTTGGTGAATACTGGAGAAGACGTGTCGCTAATGACCGAAAGTATAGTAAAGGAAAAATTCCCGACACACAAAGTGCAAAATAGTTCAATTTAGCGTTATGGCTTGGGTAATGTCAGCACGGCAGTATTGGACGAAATTACAGCAGAAATGGAAGTTGATGAATTGACAACAAAACACAAATTTTTAATTGTAGCAGATGAAAAAACTAATACTAACGTAATTCTGAGATATGATTTTTTGAAGAAATTTAAAGTAGTTATAAGTGCTGGAAGCTATGCGTTCACAGATGCGTATGATAGTTCATATGGAGAGAATTACAATATTTATAATGTGGTTAGTACCGATACTGAGATCGACGTTGCGCCGAAGTATAAAGAAACTGTAATGCAATGTATCAACAATTATAAACCAGGGGACAACACAGCAGCCAGTCCAATTAAATTAAGAATTGTATTAAATTGCAATAATATAGTATTCCGTGAAAGACTCAGTCGATTAGCAGTACCAGAACAGGAATTCGTACGAAATCAAGTAAATGAGTGACTAAAGCAAGGTGTTGTACGAAACTCGTGCTCCGATGTGGCAAGCAAAGTACTACTAGCAAAGAAAAAAGATGGTAGCTTCAGATTGTGCGTAGATTTTCGAAAATTGAATACGTTGGTACTGAGAGATAGGTCTTCGTTACCGATAATCGAGGATGTTCTTGAAAATATACAGGCGGCCAAATATTTTACAATGATGGATCTAAAAAATGATTTCTTTCATGTGGAAATCGAAGAACACAGCAAAAAATACACAGCGTTTGTGACAAAAGAAGAGCTGTACGAGTTTAGTAAAGCGCCATTTGGTTTTTGTAATTTACCGGCGGAATTTAGTCGCTATGTCAGTTACATACTTCAGCAGCAAGTAAACGAAGGAATTATGAAGGAATACGTAGATGATATTGCACAGCAGAGCAATGTGTGAGAAACAAGTATTAGAGCCAGCACAAGAGTTTGGGCTTGAAATAAACTTGGCAAAATGTCAGTTTTTGAAGACTAGAATAAACTTTCTGGAACATGAAGTAGAGGATGAAAAAATATACCCTGGAAAGGAGAACGTTGAAGCTGTTAAAAACTTTCCATTACCAAAAAATATACGAGGGGTCCAAGCGTTTATGGGTCTGACGGGATATTTCAGAAAATTCGTTCAAAATTACGCACTGTTAGCCAGGCCGTTAACTAAATTATTGAAGCAAAACACTGAGTTTCAAGTAGAAGAAAAACAAATGCTAGTAGTTGAAAGTCTGAAGTCGGCGCTAATAGAAGAACCAGTGTTAAAAATATTTAAGCAGAACGCAAAAACACAACTACACATCGATGCATCCAAATATGGTTTTGGAGCAACACTTATGCAGCAGCACGACAATAACTGATATCCTGTTTGTTATTGGAGTAAAAAAACGTCACCACAGGAAGAAAAATTGCATAGTTATTTTTTAGAGGTAAAAGCAGCGTACCTGGCGGCAAAGAAGTTAAGACACTATCTTATGGGCATTCAGTTTGATTTAGTAACTGATTGCGCGGCTTTTAAGCAGACGAACGCCAAGAAAGATATACCCAGAGAGGTGGTGCAATGGCTAATGTTCCTATAGGATTTTACGTATAATATTGAACACAGACCAGATATACTTCTAGACGAACTAGTATTGAAATTTCAAGATGAACGCAACGAACTTAGAGAAGACGCCAAAATGCAGATGCAAAAAGCGCAGGAAGCATACTAAAGAAATTTTGACAAAAAACAAAAAACGCACCATGATTACCAGTTGGCTGATTTAGTAGGAATTCGAATTACGCAATTCACAACAAATAAAAAATTGGAAAACAAGTACATAGGGCTATATAAATTATCAAATTAAAGCGAAATGGACGATATGACGTTAAGAAAGCAGCAAAATTCTAGGGTCCGCTAAAAACGTCAACCAGCGCCGATAACATGAAGCTATGGCAGTATATGGGCACGAACGACAGTGAGGAAGAGGAGGAGAAAGAAACATCTGAGACAGATGACGTGCAGGATGGCCGAGTGTAACAGGGTGGCATCATTGCAATCATGACAGTTGCTGTCTGTCACAAAAGAGCAACGCAGCAGTTTTTGACAGTGGTTTGAAGCAGTCAGTAGTGTGCGGTCGGTCGTGGTATTGAACGTATTATATTGATAGTGAACATATTATCATTTTTTGAATTTCATAACATTTTATAATCTTTTTTGCATAATAACTGCACTAATAAATAACATTTCTTACATATATATATATTGTATGTAATCATTATTATTTTAATACAAAGCTAACAGTTATTTGTGCGTTTTAAAATCAAAAGCAGAGTGTAAAACATATTTGTGCGTGGAAAAATAAAAGGCACGTGATAATTATTTCTGAAAAATATAATATAAAGCAAATTTAATTATTTGTTTTTTTTTTTGAGTTTTATTTGAAATTCCGAATTACAATTATAATTATAAGGTGACTTTTATTTTTTAATGATAATTGTTATGGTCTCTGCTCTTAAGAGAGCCAACTATTATCCAATACATAAATGATTGTGGAATTGACATGTTGGATTTTGTATTTTATATTGCTTATACTTAAAAGTAGAAAAAATATGAAAAATATAATAATTGATGATTTAAAATGTGTCTGTTATGAAAAATTTTTATTTATACCAATAACTTGACTTGCGTGAAAGCCTGACTATTCCTATATATTAGTAACTTATATGCTGTCTTACAAGTTATATGTAGAAATAAAAAATGCCAATAATGTACAAAATAATGAAAACAATTATATAACTAAAATTTATAGTAAAAAATATAAATGTAAAACAAGGTGAAAAACAAATATTTAAAAAAAAACAAACCACAAAATTAGTGACGGAGCATACATGGTAGTTCCCATTACTGCATACCGACATACGGTTGTATAATCAATGTCTGAATTCTCTTTAAAGGCAGGCTGTGCAGAAAAACGACTTCATTAAATTGTTTATTATTTCATACAATAATTTTCTTTTAATTTTTTATTTTTATTATGTAACGGTTTTGATATTATTTTACCCTTATCTTTTTAGAAAGAAATTGTTGCGAGTATTCTGCTCCTGCATAAAGTGATCCGTATATAATACTATTTGTTAAAAATGGACGCTTTTTTAATGCACCACGAACACTAGCTAAAATTTGATTCATGTTTGTTAAATTTTACGAGTATTAAAAACTCAAGTAACTCCTTTTCACTAATTATTAATATTCTGTAAAAATATTAAAAACGTTTCTCACAAAGTACGAAAATGATTAAACATTTATTGAAAATAATTTTACTAAACGATAACAATTGTACAATATTTGTTCTTACGTGAAAAATAATTGTACAAAATTTCAATAAAATACGTCAATGCTAGCAAGCAATATAAATATTTGTGCACATAAAGACGTATTTAATTGAAAAATGCTCTCATAACTATTTTAATGAGAAATTTGTGTATTTACTGGAAACAAGACTTAAATATACGGCAATTGAATAGAGCTATTAAGCAATTGGCGTACACAATTTAATATGGATGATATGAAGAGTACCAGAAATCTGTGTCATAAATTTAATAATATGAAAATTTTAGTTTGAAAACATTTTATTAGTTTTAAATTAAAGTTCTTTAAAAGCCACAACTATACAATAGATGATTCTCTGAATTTTAATTTTTATATATTCAATTTTACTTTAAATAATACTTAATTTTTAAATTCAACCAAAATATTACGTACATCAGTACTTCAAATCGGGAACTTAATTATAATTTATAGAATACAGAAGAAAAATGCATAAGAAAAATGGAATTGATCGGTTTAGATATAAATCGCATATAAATTGGCGATTGGGAAACATATTTTTCTTTTTAATGTATTTATTTCTTATTCAAAATGTAGGTATCCATTATACAAACAATATTCATGCTGAAACTGATATCGACCTTTTTAGATTTGGATATAGTTGTATTACAAACTGTTCATTTTGATTCATCTTATCTTATGCTAAACGAAACTGTCATCCAAAGCATCATATGTATACGTTTGGATTTGCATCTTTATTACAAAAAAGATTTTTTTTCATCATATTTTCTTTAGAAATATCTCATTTTTTGCCTAGTAGATATATTTAAATATAAATGTTTGATTCTAGACATTGAAAATCCACAAGTAACTGTTAAGAAATTATTGTATGAAGAAAAATAAACTGTATAACACAAGATATATCATAAAGTTTCTGAAAGCACCATTACGGGTGTATTTTTTTAATAAGTAAAATTAGAAACTGCTAGTTTAAGAGGGCTAACGCCTTTGGCAAATAGTTTACAGCCAAAAATTTCCAAAGACGAGATTTATATTTCCTATAGGGAAATTTTCCGTAGAACTCAAAAATCACAACGATTTTTTTTCTGTGTACCGTTTTCAAGTTATTTGCAAAAAACCGTTATTGTATGAAGTCACAAAAGCATATAGTCCCATAACTTTTTTTCTGAAGTTACCTCAGTAGTGCGTTATATATCAAATTAAAGGTGAAACTTGTACAAACATTTTAACGTTAATGTAACTTATTTAGTTTTGCTGCTATAGCTAAAAATGTACAAACGAAAATAATTTTTTAAGCTTTTTTCAACTTTTTCGATTTTCAATGTGATGGGAATATTAAAAAAAATTCTTTTTTTGATTGATTGATATGTTTGCTTTAGTACAAATATTTCAAGTGGCTTAACATAAAAATCGAATAAATATTTCAGAAGTTATTCGCCATTTTCCAAGTTTGCCCAAAATAGTGGTTTTTATTAACAAAACAGAAAAATCATTTTTTCATATTTATTTTGTAAAATTTAGAGTGCAAACCAAAATTATGTTATGTAAAATTTCACAAATTTTATTTAAATGAAGTTACCTCAGTAGTGCGCTAGATATCAAATTAGAGGTGAAACTTGTAAAAACATTTAACATTTTTAAAAACATTTTAATTATTTTTTTTATACGCTTTTTTTAATTTTTTCGATTTTCAATGTGATGGGACTCCTACACAAACATTAAAAAAAAAATCTTTTTTCAAATATTTTTTTTCACTACTGAGGTAGAGTTATGGTGCTATATGCAGGGTGATGTTTTGAGAAAAGTCAAAATAACAGTTTTTTGCAAATAACTCGAAAACGATACACAGAAAAAAAAAATGGTTGTGATTTTCGAGTTCTACGGAAAATTTCCCTAGAAGAAATATAAATCTCGTCTTTGGAAAACAAAACTTTTAATTATTTGTTAACTAATATTATTACACTTTGTGTTTATATTTCAGTTATCTGATTAGAGGTGAATATGACCTAAGTAGTGGATTATGTAATATTTTTGGTGAAATCTTTCATTAATACGTCTGCAGTTTGTGGTTTGTTTTTGGTTCACAATTGTTCTACAATTTTAGGTTTTGATCACTAATGAACATTTTTTTACTATGAACTATGATATGTTTATATAAGTTTTCAACAGTTATTCTGAGATGCAGAAGTATTGTTAGTGATTCAAAGATTAAGTTTCATTTTTTAAGAGCTTAGTGGCTTCATAATTTAGGTGGATGCCATTTTCATTTGGAGCTGTCTTTGTATTCTACGTTCAGTCCCTGACTACAACTGAAAAACTTGTGTTACTTTTTGGTTAATATGTGTAGTAGTTTATAATTTTTGTTATCACCGTATTTTGAGATGATAGAAAAATTACTAAAACTTTAAATTTATATATACTAGGTCTGTTCCACGAGCTACACATAGTAACTTTGAATAACACTGTGTATACACAAGTGCGTTCCACGAACAAATTTGTGAGTAAATGAGAGCATCTGAGAGAGCGTAACATCCCTGTCGAAATTTGAAAATGTTACACAGACTTTACTTATGCATTTTATATGAAGTAAAATTTGTGTTTATGTGTAAATCAGCTGTTATGGTTTGAATTCAAATTTTTGTATTGTTTGTTTGCGCGGCATTTGTGAATATAAAAAATTCTGCATTTTTAATGGTAACAACTGTAATAAATAAATATTGAAATGGATAAAAACATAATAAATATTTTATTAAGTGATAGTGATTTAAGTAACACAACACAACCAGAATATAACGTAGTTAATACACTTCGAGATAGTGACTCTGACGATGATGTAGAATTGGTGTATTCGATATTACATAAAAAAAAAAGAAAACGTGTGTGTATAAAAAATTATATACAAGATGTTGTTTGCAAATATGACGACAAGGAATTCAAAACTCATTTCCGCATTTCGCGGAGCCTTTTTAATTCTTTGCCTATAAAATTTCAAAATAGTACCGACTTTATTGCACTGCGAGTAAGTGAGCTGAACATTTCTTCAGAAGCTCACGTTGCTGTTTTTTTATGGTTTGCTGGTCACGAAGCATGTTGTTTTAGAGATTTATCAGATCGCTTTAATCTCTCTTTATCGTCAGTAAACCGAGTTATAAGAAGGATAATAACTTTCTTTAGCAACATGTGTCCGGATATAATTGCATGGCCTAGCACATCAAAAAAGGAAGAAGCAAGTACATTTTTCCAAAGCTTATGCAATTTTCCATAAGTTATAGGTAAGGATTTATGTGCATATTAACGCTGCATATATATTAATACATGTTACTTTGCAGGTTGCCTAGATGGCACTCGTATAACTATTGATCCTCCTGGAGATCGTAAGGACGACTACATTGACAGAAAAGGAAATATTTCATTATGCTTGCAAGCCATCTGTGATGAAAACAGAAAATTTATTAGCATATTTGTCGGACATCCAGGCTCCTGTCATGACAGTTGGGTCTTACAAAACTCTCCTATTTATATGCGACTACCATCGAAGTGTGGAGGTAAGTTCTTTGGAAAAAGAAATGAGATTTATTAAAACCTCTTACGTTTACAGAATACTATCTACTGGCTGATTCCGCATACCCCTGTACACAACACATCATTACGCCATATAAAGACAACGGGCGTCTTACTCGTGCACTAAAAGAATATTCAATACCCTGTACACAACACATCATTACGCCATATAAAGACAACGGGCGTCTTACTCGTGCACAAAAGAATTTCAATAGAAAATTGGGGTCAGGTCGAAACTAATAGAAAATGCATTTGGTATTTTAAAACAACGTATTAGACAGCTGTACTACTGTAAATTAAAAGGAGTTGAAAAACCGTGTCACTTTATAAGAGCATGTTGCGTTTTGCACAATCTTGCAAATGAAAACGACTTAGAATTCACATTTTCAGAACAATCTGAGGAAGATAATGATGTCAACAACCACATCCCTTTTAGATCAAGTATCGTTAGAGATTCGATTTGGAATGAATTACAAACAGAAAATAACTTGGATTAAAGTGTTTATTTGTATATTGCTTATTTTTCATTAATTAATTTTATTAATATTGCAATAAAGAACTTAATTCTAATTAACATATTAACATCACATTTTATAAATATATACTTAATTCTATCTTAGCTTTAAAATTACATTATTTAAATAAATTTTTAATTCTAACTAAACATAAAGACTATAATATTAAAAGTAAATATGTTTTTAACATAATGTGTCCTAATAATAATAATATGTAATATATTAAAATAAGTTTAAAAATAAATAAATATAATATATTAATTATTTTATTATTAATGTGTTTGTCTGTTATTTTTCAATTTCTATTTCTACTGTTCTGTTTTTCAAAAAACAGCCGTTTTCACCAGACTTAACACAAAGCTGTTCCATGAAAATTTGTGTAAAGAGCGTAATCTGGCACTTTATTTGTGTTACGCTCTCAGTTTGTACTTTACTTCTGTTTTACTCATGGTTTACTATGTGTAGCTCGTGGAACAGACCTATTATCTGTGGTGATATTAACAACAAAAAATTTAATTTGTATATTAATCAATATAATTCGATACTTGTGAATAGATTTCTATTATTAGGCCTTTTCTTTTGTACGCATGTCGCAAAAGAACAAATAAAATAAGCACTACTTTCGATGGCAACTCTTTTTGTTAGGGTTGTATATGCAAAACATGTAATAAAATTAAAATTTAAATTTCGAAACTGTAAAAAAGTTCTTTGGAATTATTGGTAAAAATATTGTTTTTTATATAATTGTAAATAAAATATGAATTTTCGTGCCTTTTAATAGTAAAATAATAAATACAAAAACTAGCGTGTTAGTTACGAACAATGACGACACGAAATACAAATAACTAATGAAATCATTCATGGACGGTTAACTGAAAATTTCGTAGGTACTTCCAAAACTCGTTCACAATAGACGCATTTTTAGTCTTGGCAACCATGTGATTTGAGCTGCTTATTAGTTAAGCGATTTCAAAATAACTAAATAAGTTAAATAAGTTTGACTAAATAGCTAAAGCTAAATAAATAGTCAAGCTAAATATATAAGTTTGACTAAATAAGCCAGAAATGTTGTTGTTTCATACATTATTTTTAAAATAAGCAGATTTTTTTGTGATATGCTTACAAAAGAGAAGGCCTATTGTTGTTAATTTCCTCTACACTAAATATACGTGTTTAAAATCAAAAATTTGCCTACAGTGAACAGCCCTATTTTAAACTGTCATTTTGATGACGTTAGTTAGTTTGCTGTAAGTTGAAAGAAATATATACTCAAGAACAGTGACGACTGCTCTAAGGTGCGGTGGTGTGCGGTGAACACCCTAACATAATTTACAAAATGTCAAATAACATAGGTATATGAATTTATTAAGTATCTTCACATCAAGAATTATTATTATTTATTACATTTCCATATATATATTTTTAAAGTTTTAGCAAAAACAATTAAATATAATTGTCTATGAAAACTCAATCAATTTGCTTCTGTTAGCTGCTATACTTGTTAGTTGTGCTCATATATTTACAGGTCAAATCACAGAACATTTCTATTATATTTCGTCTCTCCCCTTTGTGTGCAAAGAAGTTAGCCGCACATTCATACGTTGCATATGAACAAAATAATGTGCGTGTACTCCCGTTCGTAATAGCAGAAATTGAGATTTATATAGTGGGAATTGTATGAGAGTAATTTTCTGATCTATTCGAATATCAACTGCATGCATACGAATCCAACATGATGATTTGCCAAAGTGGTTGCATGAGCGGCTAAAGTTTGCAGCTCATATCACCATACATTTCTATCACATTTCGGCTCTCCTCTTTTAACAGTAGCACCAACGCATTTCTGTCGCTTACTGTGCGGGGTACTTGTCTGCACATTTATACGTTGCAAGTGGGTTCGATTTTGTTCGATCACTGCATAAACATGTATGTTTCCAAGTACAAAGTTGGTTTGATGTTAGAATTATGTGAAAAGATTTGTTTCTTCCATATTGATATAATATTAAATTTATATATAAATTATTAATTTAATTTGTTTAATATGTTATTGCAAATATATTGTTGCCTAATATAATATAGTTATTATTAACAAAACACCTCATATATTTTAATTTAAGTGGTACATGTAAAAACAACATTATAGAAGGGCCGCACACCCTTCCAGATAGAGCACGCGTCGTCACTGCTCAAGAAACTTTGTCAAAGAACGCCAGATTTACATATTTCAGTTTTATTTTGATATAAAACGTTTTAAATTTTATCAGTGGAAATAGTTTTAACATGTAAATACCTATTTACATGTACAAAAAACAATTAAAATTTAATGTTTGTTTTCTTGATTGCTGTGTGTCTTATGGTTTATGAAATTAAGTAGTCGAAGAATACGCGAAATAATTATGAAAATTCTGAGACAACGAAAAAGCGGGAAAAATAACTGATGCTAGAAATAATGTAGCAGATAAAATGCTGGAAAAATATTTAATCACAAATACACTTAAGGCAATTATAAAAAAGATTGAGCAAATAGAAAAAAGTAGCTTGTTTTCCAATGTCTGTGGAAAACAGAGCCGAATTTCCTAAAGTTAAAAATTGCCATGATATTGAAATAAATGATAATGTTGTGATTACCATAACCGATAATAAATTAATAGTACGTGTCTAGCAAGGAAGTAGGAGAGAAAAACCAATAGAAATTAATATATAACTTGACAGCCAGCGGCGGGGGGTGAAAATTACAATTACAACGTTACGATAGAAATGTTTACTTTTAGCAACGGGGAAAATTTGATGCACTTGCAAAAACGCCTTGTTGGTGCAACATGTGAAGCTGTTGTATTAATGCTACATTAGCATTAATACAACCACCAATGCACTTAATGCTATTAAGGAGCCTATAAAAGTAAGCTGTCCAGAATGTAAAGGTCAACATAATTTATTTTAATGTCAGAGCTATAAAACAAGTAGCGTTACCGAGAGTTGGACCAAAGTAAAAATGTTGCAGATATATCACAATAAGAGTCGAAACAATGAATTGTCGTTTTAAGAAGTATTATGGTAAAAATGGATGGAAATGCCAGCATTGCTTCAATCTACATAAAGAGAATAAGCCAATAACATCACCTGCAGAGATAAGGTCCTCAGTGGCCAAACTTTATCGCCTGCCCTTATTGTAAGGATGGAAATTTTGCAATAATTTCCAACCTACATAAATTAAATAAATCTATATTTAATCTGAAATTGAGAATATAGGAATAAATTAAATAGATTTTAGTTGAAATATCTGATACATACTTTAATGATTTTTTTGATTTTACTTGGCCAACGCTTCCTTTTGTATAAATTTCCAACAAAAGCTACCCACATTGCAACAAGTGAAATTACAAAAAAAAAAAAATAAAATTAAATAAAAAAGTATTCAGTAAAATTATAAATACATACCTTCTTCATTTATCACCACAAATTTTAATTCATTTAGAAATTATTTTCACGTTATTATTATAAATAAATAACAAAACAGACAAACTTCAGAAACGTCAATAGAATTCGCCGCACAACTTTGAAAACGGTATGAAAACAAGAAACAGAAACGGGAAAATAAACAAATCACCACCAAACAACAGAAAAACGTTATATGTGTGCTACATAAAAAGCTTGTCTGATCAGTATAAAAGACGACGCATTTTGTTAAGAGGGGAGTGAGTCTTATATGATCACTCGGTGGCATTATATGTCAACACATTAAATCAATAAAATCAATCAAATAGTGTCTGACACAACGGCGGTTTTAAGCCAAGTGTATAATATACAAGAAACATACATATAATTGCTTACACACATTGACACGGTTTTAAGCCCATATACGTGAACGCTATTATATATATTATTTTATATATATATATTTAAATTTGGTTTTTGATTTAATTACAAAACGTTAATAGACTTTCTTTAAATAATTTTACGTTACTTTATTTAACTAAAACAATATAATCATTCACGACGCTACCCAATGAACTTCCGTTATCCTGACTTCACTCGATTGTATCATTCGCTGTCAAACATAGGTTAGGTGACCACATGTTGTTAACAATTTTAATGTGCCCAGTTGTGCGTTTCGGATGTAGGTTAACAGTCGGCCCTTCCTGACGTCAAGCGTCCTCGCGCTCGGAATCAGTTTCTTCTTCGTACGGCAATTGACACCATGGCTTTAGGAGATCAGAAGCATAGATTGATTTATAATGTCGTTGTTTTCGATCGGATCCTGGTAGGTCTTCGATGACATAACGGTCATTATCGAGAACTTCGGTGACTACGAACGGTCCTTTATATCGACATTCAAGTTTGCTGGACGTGCCTGTGGATGCTGGTTCTCGTTCTGCTAGAACTAAATCACCTTGCTCATATTTCGTTGGTTTCCTGTGTTTATCGTCGAAACGCTTTTTCGCGTTTACCCGTTTACTATCGGTGTTATTAGCAGCAAGTAATCGTCGGCGGTGAAGTTCTTCTTGGGTGATGGGAATAGTATCGTCTTCATTTGGATCAGCTTGTTACCTAATATGTCGCGTGGCTTGAATCCAAAAAGCAATTCGTTTGGAGATTTACCCG